GTTTTACATTCTTTGCCGAGAATATTAAAAATGGGGTTTTTGCATGTATTACATAATATTTTTGTTTTTTTTTCTTACGTGATCTGGCGCAAAAGCCACATCTTCGGTTTGAATTGGGTTGAATCTCTTTAGCAGGATTTATAGGAACTGTGCTTTCGACAAGAAATACATTTATTGCTGATTTTACAGTTTTGTGAAACTTGCTACTATTTTATTTCCTTCTTAGAACGTTTAGAAGTACAAGTCCTTGTGCTGAAGGATTGCTCTTCGCAGCTCTCTAAGCGAATTCGGCATGAATCTCTTTTTTGTTAGCCCATCATCAGTATATTCATTTTGCGCCATTTTCCAATAAATACACATACTAACTTACTACATAATAGTAAATACCAACACTAAACTGAATGTAGAACTTGTTTCCGTCTTCATACAAAGTCACCAACACGAAAAAACATGAATAGTGCGTGTAGGATTTCGAATCACCGAAGGCCGTGCGGGGTAACCGAGGTACCCCAGGCAGTAAATTTCAGTTTTTCGCGGAAAATAAAAAAAAAATATTTGGATATTTTTGTTAAAAAAGGGTTTTATAATATATACTCTAGGATTACCTGATAGGAAAAAAGTGAGAAATAAAAATTGGAAAAGTTATTAAAGAAAAAACGCATCTGGGGTACCTAAAATACCCTGCACGGTCCCGGAAAGGTTAAAATACATCAAAGTTTTAAGGTGCCCATTTTTCCTGCTGTATTTCAAAAACTATACATTTTAGTCATATGCTTTTCTAATGAAACAAACCTTTATTTTTTTACTAGAATCCACAAATCAATTAATATATAGAGTGTTCCATTACAAAAAACATAACTTTGATGTGTAACTTTTTTAGGGGACACCATGTACCCTGTAGAACTCATAATTTTAGAAAATGCTTTAAATTGACTTACATAAGCTCACAAAATTTCACTTCAATATAAACTTTTGTTCTCCTTGCAAAAACCGCGTCGTATATGACGCGCCACCCTGTATAATTCGATTTCAATCAAAATTTCAATGACTAGAATATAAGCACAATAGGTAATAGGTATAGCTTATGCATTAGATTTATTTATTTCAATAAATTTACTTAGAAAAAGAATTAAAAAAAATCAAAATATTAAGAAGGAAATAATTAAGAATTTACTAAAATTACTAAAATAAAAAATTAAAAGCAACGAAAAAAAATGGGTAAACATTTTAGTATTTTATCTATAAAACACAATACAGAAGGTTTCACATTAATACATTGACAGTAATTGAATTCCGAGGTAAAAGTCTCTGGGCACTCCACTAAAAGGTATTGTTATTCATGTGTGTGTGTGAAAAGTAGAATAGAAATACATATTTAGAAAGTTCATAACAAGACATATATGAAATAATAAAATAATATACAGGGTATCCCAATAAAAAAAAATAAGTTTGGGTTATATTTCAAGAATGCCAGCTCTCAGCAGAAATATATTCGACCACTGGATTTTACGTGAAAAGCTCTACGGAATTCAGTTTTCACCTTTTCGATAAGTTTTATGATAATCAAGATGCACGAAGGGGTGGAAAATTGCAAACTTTTCAAATTCGCTCTATATTTCAGAAAATAAGAGGGCTAGGACAAATTTATGTGTGTATAGCAACTTTACATTCATAAAAAATAGAACAGTGATGTGAAAATCCCCCGTATCTTTGTATATATCTACTAATAAACGACGAACCCTGTAAACAAACACGAAAATAGGATACCCTGTACTCGTAGACGGTAGAACCCAGATAAAATATCATTAAGGAACGTTTTGAAAATTAATTATTAAAATCATGATGATTTCATATCTGATATCATCAAACTAAAAATGATATGCTAATTATTTATCATTTTCATCAATCACCTTTATTTGAAAGGCCACTATGACCGATTTTATTGGATTAGCCACATATAATATTGTATTGGCTATTTATTTTCCTATAGATTTTAATTTATTTTTGTAACACTTTATTATATATATATACTTTGAAATTCTTTTTGGTAAATTAATTACTTGTTTGTTACTAAAAACTGGCCTCTCCTGAAAAATATAAAAGAAATAAACAGTAAATTTGACATATTTATGTTTTAAGTAGGTAGGTATTTTGTTTTACGTACCTACTTGTTTTTAACTTACTATGTTTTTAAAATGGAAATTTTTGTCCATAAATTAATTATATTGATGAAAAATTGAATTGTTATGATGAGACACTAATTATTATATTGTATATTTATTTAATTTTCCATGGTAATAAATGTATATTGCCATTACTCAAATGTATATTACAATAATAATTGTAATATACATTATTATAATGTCCGATTTTTAGTAATAATTTTGCCTCACTACCCTATGTAATTCTTTTGTACTACTATACCTATTAGAATATAATATGCATTTGTAATATGGTCCTATATTAGTAATATCGATATCATTATAATCGTATACATATAATATGATTTTATTACCGCTAAACTAAAATTATTATACAGGGTGTTTCAAAAAACATGTGCCATCTCTCGTGGGGAGATTGCTCACGTAAAAATAAGACTTAATTTTCATTTCAACATAGGTCCGATCCTGCTTTGTTTCGTAGCTACAGGGTGTTAAAGTCTTAATAATCTTTCGATTTATTATAATTTTCTTCCAAGTACTTTTAGTGATTTGAATGAAATTTTGAGGTTAAAAGTTACAATAAGTGGTACATATTTTGTCTTGTCTTGTCTTGTCTCGGATTTGGCTTTGCTACTGGGCAATTGCCAGCTCAATTTTATGATGACCTCAATGTTGTCTGGCTGTCCACCATATTGGGGCCATCTATTCTTTTACAATTCTGGAATTCTTTCCTAATTAACAGACTATCAACTTGTTCTATTAGATTATAAGTGCTGTGAAGAAACTATTGTTTCGGATGATATATGGATCTGTAAAAGCTAGGTTAGTATTGACGAACACAACATAGGAACAATGGGAGAATGGTTGAAATGACATCACATATTCTACTGGATCGGGAAGCTTCAAAGGTGCTAAAACATTAATAGGTGAAAAGCTGAGCATTACAATTTTATTTTATTAATATTCAAAAAGGACAAAATCAAATTGACCAAACCTTCATTTGGCTTCTGAAAGATAGAAAAAATAGTTATGGGAGCATCGAATTTCATGTTAATAAATTTCCCATACAAATCCATGGTAGGAATGAAATTAATAGGACATTCAAAAAATATATGATTAAGATCTTCAACTGTACCACATTCACAACGCGGGTCTTCTATCGCTTTTATCTTATGTAAATGTTTTTTTGTACAACAATGGCCCGTTCTCATTCTAATAACAGTTGTAATGTGCCTCCTATCCATGAATGGAAGGCCTGAGAACCATTTTTTTGTTGGAAAAGTAACCTGTGATTTGAAGTATTGATACTGTTGGTTTTTTATATTGACTATCCATTTTTCTTTAAATTCATTAAAAATCTTATCTTTAATAACATTACAAATATCAACTGAATCCAAGAGCATACTTTTTGGCACATTAAGATCTTTCCCAATGTTTGCCAACAAGTCAGCTTCTGAGTTTCCTTGGATATTCGCGTGCCCCGGAATCCAGGATAAGCGTATGTCAAACCCATTTACATTAGCCAAACTAATTATTCTTTTAGTTCTTAGAGTGCAATAATCGGCTTTCGCTTTTAAAAGATATTTATTGATTTTCTGAATGGCACTTTTGGAATCTGAAAATATAACTGCTTTATTTATATGCTTTTGTATTGCGAATATTACCGCATCATGTATTGCAATAGTTTCTGCTTTACAAATACTTAACGAGTCTGGAAGGCGCGAAGAAAATTTAAAATGAATTTCAGGAATAGATATACCAAACCCAGTTCTCTTACCCCTTTTTGATGCATCCGTGTAAATAAACACATGTGTAGACTTAATTTTTTCAGTTACCGACTTGAAGTCTTGTACAATGGAAAAATCACTTTTCTTAATATAACAATCAAAAATTTTTATGGGATTATTCAAGATGTCAAAATCAACCTCAAAGCAAGGAAAATTAGCACTTTTATATAATTTATTATAATAAGGCTGAAATTCTCCCAACGCAGCAATCAAATATGGTATCTTGTTTCTATTTGTATATGTTGGAAGTGTTAATATTTTTCCCCTAGTTTGAAATAATAATTTTATAAGAGAGTGGTTTTCCAATGTTATTACTTTTCCCACAAAATTGGTTGCTAGAATTTTTCTCCTGCTGTCCAAATCCAGCATTGAGGCCTCCGCCAGGAGCGCGGCCCTGGGAGTGGATTTCATACATCCCAAACAGATACGCAAGCCCTCAAAGAATACTCTATCCAATTTGGACAAACTCAGTTTACTGATTGGCTTAAGGAAAATACTACCAAAATCCAACTGCGATCTGACTAACGCATTAAATGCTATCAAAATAGTAATCGGATCTGCTCCCCACCAAACTCTACACACTGCTCTTAATACATTCAAAGCTTTTGTAGCTTTAGAGATGATATTTTCAACATGTTTCTCCCATTTTAAATTTTCCTGTAAGATCACTCCCAAATATTTAACGTGGCTTTTAAAACCCAACGATTGACTTTCCAGTTGTATAATCGGTGGAAGAGATTTTCTTTTCCCTTTTGTAAACCACATCGCTTCGCACTTATTCAAAGATAATGAAAGATCATTCTTGGTTAAAAACACATTAATTGTTTCTAGAGCAGAGTTAATTTTATTAGACATTTCTACTATATTCGATCCTTTGACAAAAATGACCAAATCATCTGCGTACCCTATTATTTTTACCGTGTTTAGATCTAACTTGAAAATCTGTAAAATATAGATATTAAACAAAATTGTGCTAAGTGGCGAGCCTTGAGGAAGTCCTCTAGTTGCCAAGACTGGTTCTAGGAATGTACCATCTATTTTTCTGGAATAAATTAGCCTATTTTTTATCAATCTATGTATGAGATTGTTTAATTCCCTGGGAATATGGAGCTGCTCTAATTTGTCATATAGTTTATAGATGTTAACATTATCGTACGCTGCCTTAATGTCTAAAAAAACCGCAATGACTGACTGCGAAGAAAGAAAAGCTTCAAAAATATATGTAGTTAGGTAAGCTATATTGTCATAAATTCCTCTACCCTTACGAAATCCACACTGTTCATTATAAAATGTTAACCTGTTTTCTAGTGTCCACTCTAAACGATTTTTGATCATAATTTCAAGTATTTTACATCCACAAGATGACAGCATTATTGGTCTATAGCTTTCCGCTAGAAGCGGGTTTTTATTTGGCTTTAATATATTTATAATATTATACTTTTTCCATGAATCTGGGACGATCCCCTCAAATAGACATTTATTGTAAATATTTATTATCGAATTTCTCGCGTCTGTTGGTAAGTTTTTATACATGGGATATGCTATATCATCTAAACCTGGAGCTGACATTCTTTTATCTTGCCATGCATTCCTCATTTCTTGTATGCTAAAAGGTGAAATTTGGCTATTTCCAACGGTCGGTAACAACTCGAAATATGGGTCAATGTCTATAGTTGCCATTCTCATAAGTATTTCTTTTCTTAAATTATCTGAAATGACAAAACTATTGATGTTGGATTTATTATTTGAAAACTTTTTTATTTTTTTCCAAACGTACCTAATGTCAGATTCTCTACTTAATGTTTTACAAAAAGCTTGAAATTTTTCTTTTTTTTTAACCTAAGATTTCTTCGTGTAACTGCAATGTTTTTTTTGCTTCTATAAAATTTTCAATGGTTGGAAAATTATTAAAGTTGGCGATAGCATCTTTTCTACTTTTAATCCAGAAAGAGCAGTCCTGATCCCACCATGGATTACCTATTTTCTGTAGGGCACCACATTGTTTATACT